TTGTCATTTTGCATTATTGACACTATTTTCCTAATTAATGCTGTTCAGTTGCTTTGACACAATCTGTATTGTTAAAAGCGCTATATAAATAAAGGTGACTTGACTTGACTTGACTTCTCCTCACCCATACTAACAAGGACTTTTCCAAATCTGCTGCATTGTGCTTCACTGAAACCTGACTGAGTGAAGCCATCCCGGACAACGCGCTTCATCTGCTGTTCAGAGCGGATCACATCGAGAAGTTAACTGGGAAAACCAGAGGTGGTGGGCTATGTTTCTACATAAATGAAGGTTGGTGTTCAGACGTAACAACTCTGAAGAAGATGTGTTATGCTAATTTAGAGGCGCTCTTCATAACCTCGCTCTGTTTCGCTGGGCATTGGTGGTGGTGTTGGTACACGGAGCGTCACAGCAGAGGAGGAGGTGGAGGAGGCCGAGTTGCTGGTATCTTCATGGCCAGAGCTGGCGTTCAGCATCATATCCATGTGGGCAGTGGTGTAATGTAACAAAGTAATAATACTTCGTTACAGTACTTAAGTATTTTTTGGGAGTATCTGTACTTTACTTGAGTTTTTATATACTTTTACTCCACTACATTTCCTAATTAAAATGTATACTTTTACTCCGATACATTTCCCCGAAGCATATTCGTTACTTACTACAAAACAGTCAGAAATCAGAAGAACACGGACTGCAGGGAAGCAGGTTTGACGAATCACTGGCCTGGCGTTTGCAAGTTAGACTCCTAAAAAACACCTTTGCTCATGTGCAAACAAGTCTGCGCACAATCGCGGATGATTCATTATTTACATTGCATTACACCAAATACACAAAATAATGTTAATTTTAGCAACGTCATATGACCCCTTAAATTAAGTAAGGAATATTGACTCCAGCACTGTGGCTGCATTACAATTCTGCATTATTTTTCTAATAATTCAGTGGCCTGGAGTGAATTATTCTGCGTATACTATGGTCACCACACCTCAAGACATTGTTCATCTTTTATTTCAAGACATTTGTCAGGTTTTTGTCCTTAGAATGCTCTTGTGTGTAAGATTAATTTATTGTAACTAGCCCTATACACTGATCCCCAGTGAAGACCTCATCTCCTAGACGGCCATCGGGACAAGACCACGGGAATCAGATGAGTCCTCTGCACAATCTAACTTTGCTGCAGCACGGATCAACCTGCTGGTTCGTCTGGCCAGAGGAGAACTGGCCCCCGATTGAGCCTGGTTTGTCCCAAAGTTTTTTTCTCCATTCTGTCACCGATGGAGTTTTGGTTCCTTGCTGCTGTCGCCTTAATTTCTGGCAATATTGTTGAATTGATTGCACAGATACTATTTGTATGCACAGATACTATTACTACTTTAACTGAAAAATGGAGTGGTTACTGTTGTCCTTTTACATTATCGACATTATTTTCCTGTTTAGTACTGTAAAGCTGCTTTGACAAGTAATAGTATTTAAAATCATTGTTCATTATCGTCATCATTGATTTTTTTAAAGTATTATTGACATTTAGATATTTATTTATTTATTTTTTTATTTTATTTAGATTTTAATTTAGTTGCTGTCTTGTCACCCTGTGATTACCATGTTTACGATGTTATACACAATATTCACAATAAATTCATATAAATTAAATTAATGTCAGCAGATTTCACTTGTTTGTTCAACTATGAATCTTTTATCCAAATTCCACTATTATACAAGGCTAAACCACTTTTTCCATGATGTTAGAGAGTGTTTCAACATATCAGAGTCACCATGCTACTCCTGACTAGGTTAGGAGACTCTCCAGCACTCTTAAATCATATAGGAACTGTGAAGGATAATTTTAAAAGAATCATAACAACTGTAACATTCCTTTTCCTTGCAGGCCTAACATTTGAAAACTAACACTTTCTAACAGTTCTACTTTCTACTTTCTAACTAACACTTTCGTTTGTATGTTGCAATAATGGATGCTAGACGGCTAGACATCTGTCTGAATATAAAAATAACCATACCAACCCATGACTTGAGTAACAAGCTGAAGTAATCAAAAACACATTTGCTTTGCAGACGGGAGGTTTGCTGAATTGCACATATGTAGAACCAATTGCATTGCAGAAAAATTATGTAATGAATCATGTCATCTTTGCCATGTAACTATTCTATATAAACTGGTAGTCTTTTTGTTGTGAGAATTGTCTGTGATTGGTACAAAGTCCCCTGGCAGTGATTAAAGCATAAAGGCATTGGGCCTCATTCACTAATAATTGCGTAGATTATTTGTATTTATATGCACATTCGAACTTCTCACGAAAACTTTTCGCCT